TTGTCTTCCACTAAGGACCCGTTTAGATAATAGAAGTATTGGAAATAAGAAGTATGTTATAAAAATAACTTTGAAAACTATGAAGTAGCTAGTAGTGAAACTAGCATTTTTTTGTTCATATATTTTTAGAAGTAATGGAAGTAGAACTTCTTCCTCTTCATTTACTTTTTTTGTTTGGATGAACATATTACTAGGAAGTAATTAACACAAGTTGCCTCCATAATTTCAAAGTCACGCCACGCTCTTTAATTTGATCTAACACGTTACAACCAGTTTTATGCCGCTATGACCCCTCGCCACTTGAGCGCAAGAAGAATCCTTCAATCACATAGCTTCAAAATAACTGTTTACCTCTCACCTACGATGAGACTCCGGATAACCATAAATTCCTATGAATCTCCAATTTCCCTCCTCCCTCGCTCCTTTGATCATAACATAAATGTGGTATTTAGACAAAGAATTAATAGACAAACTGTTCTCTTCATCCCAAAGAAAAGCTGGCCGATGTCATCACAAATTACTATAAAATAATTGTTAAAATTAAGAGCAATTTTATAAATAAACAGTTGTTAGAAGTAACTAATGAAGGAAATATTAATAAAAACTTATTTATTTCCTAATTAATATTCATTTCAACTACTTCGGAGCTACTTCTGAGTATTGAGGATTGAAAAAATATTTTGAAAATAAGGATGACATGTAGGCGCTACATAAGCGTTTAAGGAAGTATTGGAAGTAAGTTTATAAGAGAACCAAACACACTGTTTTGCTTAGAAGTAGCAGAAGTAACCTCTACTTTTTTTACTTCAGCTACTTCATAATTACTTCCGTGCAAACAAATAGGCCTTAAAAGTGTCTTGAATGTAAAGGTTAATTCAAAGAAAATCTGTACCTATAAATTCAATAGCATTTATTACTCGTCATCTCCTATATAAGTATTTATCATCTCTCAACTAGTAGGAAAAAAAGTTTATTTGCAATTTATTCTTCTCAACATGATAATAGCATTGAGGCTCATGAACAAGTTGAGCAGTGATGGACCAAAATTCGAGTTAGTTAGATTGTGGTTTTTTAGGGTAATTGTACACACTCCATGTAACATGTACTTTCGAACATATGATCTCTTAGTTCGATTTAGATAGATAGACTCCTCTATGTTGTATGATGAACTGTTCGTAGTGAGTTTGTCGTAAAGATGAAGGGCTTGTTTAGAATTGGGGCAATGAGAGGTAGAGGAAGTTATGACACACTTTATCCTTGTTTGGGAATGAATTTATGCTAGGTAATGAGAGAAAATGAAAGGTAAAGGAGAGGAGAAAAACTAAGGCTTAAGAAAGAAAAAATTGGGTTTATTTGGATTTTGAGCGAGAGAAGGGAAGTCAAGGGAACCCAGGAGAAGTTTAAAGTTAAGGAAAGATAATGAACATGTAAAACTTATTTGGAAAATTAGTAAGGAGAATTAAGGGGAACTTATTTAATCCCGTATGAAAAGTGTAATAGAGTGAAGGGAAGGGAATGTAATATACATAAAATGACATAAATATCATTGCATGTTATTAAGTTATGTTGTTATTAGATCTTGATAGGGGGTAAATTGGTCTCTCTGCAATTACTTTGCTCTCCTCATTTACCTTCACCCTGGTTACACCTAAATTTGGGGGGAAGAAAAAAAATAAGGTTTTCTGCCCTCATATACATTCCCTTCTCCCTCACTACCTAGCCTAATTTGATTCCCGAACAAAGCTAAAGCCCATCATAATTTTTCCTACCCCTCATTACCCTCAATCCAAAACACACCCTCAAGGTGTAACGAGGGTGAAGGGAACTTCTACTAATTTTTTTTTTATGGAGAGACCCTTTTTACCCTCCGTGTAATGTAATTTCTAATAATAAAATAATTTAATAGCATGTGAGGTTATTTTCATAGTTTTACCTACATTCCCCTCTCCCCCTTCACTTTATTACATTACACTTCCCAAACGTGGTGAAATGAGTTCTCCTTGATTCATCTTTACTAATTTCACAAATAAATTTTACACGTCTCTCTATTTTTTTCTAAACTTAATTTCTCCTATATTTCCTCAACTTTGTCAAAATCCAGACAAGCCCGAAGTAAACGGGTTGCTTTAATAAACCGCAAAATTCCCAAACCCATAACGGGTTGAGATTTCGGGTACCGATCCACCTGAAGCCCTAATAAAAGCCGGCAAATTTGTCTCTTTTGCAAATAAGTACTGACTTTCTTTGCCTCTTACACCCTCGTCGTCCAAATCGAAGTTGGGGGGAGAAAAATGGTAACCCTAACGGAATCCGACGACAGAATAGAGGAAGAGATCGAAGAAGAAAACAAAGGAACGATCAGCGATCAACAGCCCTCCGCGACGCGAAACCCTAACCCTAGATCGGTGAAGACGAAGGTCCCAGAAGTAGAGGTCCATCTGTATCGGAGCGGCAAAGGCCCGGTCGAGACCTTCAAATCGAGCCTCGGGGGCTGGGATCAAGATCAGCTCGAGGTCCAAGACATCCTCGACAAGTACGGGCTCAAATCGATCTTCGCGTTTACTCCGGGTTCGGGTCGAGGGGTTCCGATTCGATTCAGTGCGAGGAACGGGAGATCGATCCTTACGTATCGTGATGGAGCTGTTATCTATGTCGATGGAGAGCCAAAGGTGAGATTTTTATTTTTATTTTTTCATTTTTTCCCCTTGAATTTTATTAGAAATTGATTAGAAATCTTGGTTCAGCAAGTTGTTGATTATGCATATCTTCACTTTAAAAATCTACTTTTTCAGAATTTTCTAAAAAATATTATAAACTTTTAACGCTTGGTACATGATTAAAAACAGATGAAAATTCATCAGAAATTTTGGTTTTCGATAGGTCATGTGTATTACATCACATCCAACACTATGTGCTTTCAATTTAGAAATCAAAAGTTAGGATGTGTAGTTATTAGGAGCCTTCTCATGATAGTTATTAGGAACCTTCCCCCATGTCTCCAAATGGCGACCTTTCCGGTTCCTCTCATGTAGGTAGGGCCTCCAAGCAAGGTTTTGAATATCAAATACTTGGAGAACATTAGATGACTAAAATTCATATTGGATTGCGGATATCAGGGGTATGTGATAAATATTGGAGTGTTATTTAAATGACGAGCATATATATGGAGAATTTTAAAAAAAGTGTAGTTTTTAAAAATAATAAGCAAAGTCGACCCTTGTATGAAAATATTGGTAGATTTTGCTAAATATTGACTTTAAAAGTCCTGTGTAATTAGTCGCTAATTATAATTACGGTTAATCTGAAATGGTTGTCTCGTGTTTTTTATGCTGAAATACTTAAGGTTTAATTAATGAGAACTAAGTACACGAGACTAGTAGTCCCGTGTATTTTAAAGCTGAATTTTTGCAAAGTCGACCTCTTTTTAAAAAAGAGGTCGATTTTGCTAATTATTTTAAAAAATGGTCTTTTTTTAAAAAAATTATCCACAATATGATGTCCTAAAATTTAATGTATACATAATGAAATCTAAGCACGACATCACGACATTTCAATTGATTTTTTTGAGGCCGAAATATCACTTGATATGTTGGGAAAATTATAATATGTTGCCTAAAAATTCCTGGAAGCGGTATATTGTTTTGCGGCGAGCCATATTAAAAAATTCCTGAAAGCGGTATATTGTTTTGCGGCGAGCCATATTAAAGGACATATTGGTCAACGTATCGGCTGATATATTGGCCATGTCGAGGATATATAGCCTAAAATTTGCTAAAAAGCGATAAATAATTATTAGGCCATATTTCTTTCCATATCTTGCGACATCTTCAAACAAATCACAGAGATCTTTAATCTTTGAGTTTCTTTTCCTTAACTATTCATTTTTGATTATTTTGCAGATATGAATTGTTTAATAGCCAATATTTCTTTCCATATCTTGCGACATCTTCAAACAAATCGCAGAGATCTTTAATCTTTTTGGTTGCTTAAGGAAAAATGTGGAATTAATGTCACATATTTCATTTCTCTTAAAAACAAATTGTGTTTATCCTTCTTCCTATTCTCTTCCATTTCTCTCTTCCTTCACGAGTGATTCTGGATCATGGCGATAATTTTTTAATGGAAATTTTGAGAAATGACTCTTTTCACACAGCAACAAAAGGATTTGAAGAGAAGGATGAAGAAATAGTAAGCAAATTCTATTTTATCCATTCAAGTGTCAACAACTCTCTGCTCTTTCTTTAATTCTAGTGTTTTATTAGGCAAACATCCACTTAAGCAAGAGACTAGAATTCAAAGACACTGTGGTGCTGCTCTTCTCAGTGGGTTCTTAATGCTAGTCCTTAGCTGCATTGAAACATTTCTGCAAAGGCAACAACTATAGTACTAGGGTAGCGAAACCACAATTGCCCCTTTCAGGCTGCGATTCTAACTTAATTTAATTTTACTTGTGTTCTTTATTTTAGGGTTTTTTTGTTTATTTTGTAGCAATATTTCCAACAAACCCATCAACTTTTTCCTTTTGTTTATTCCATCACCTTAGCCGCAGAGAATTTTGAAGGATTGCTTCTTCACAGATGAGCTATGCATTAGTTGGCAGGTTTGATAAACTGTTGTTAAAGAACAATGATATTCCAGAAGACACCTTATACGTCGACATTTTGGATGCTAAAATTTATTATTGACCCAAACCCATCATAAATTCCATTTGATTGGATGTGATTAGTTTTGAGTATCTAAAATGTATGTTGAAAATGAAGATCTAAAACATTGCTATTTGTTAAAGCTTCAATGGTATTAGTGATGCCTTATCTTTAGTCTTACATGGGGAAATGTGGAGAGTTATAGAGGGTTTAAATGATGGGTTATGGGGTTCAAGTGTAGCATTAACTACTCAATTTTGGTAGGGAATTGAGCCAAACAATGTATTGCATTCAGTGGGTCCTACGGCTTACATCACACTAACAGGCTTGTAGGCTTAGGGTGTAACAAATGGTATCGGAACTGTTAGTCAGACGAAAGTGTGGACCTCAGTGCTACATTGCATGAGTGTGGTGGAAGTCACCTTTAGTGCCCATAGGAGCCACATCTGGAGTCCACATCTCTTGACGGTGATACTGAGATGAGTCATTGTCAATGTATCGTGCTGCGATGAGGACGTCGCGTATTTAAGGTGGAGTGATTCTAATGATCCAACTTTAGTCCCACATGAGAAATGAAAAAGAGTTACAAATGGTTTAAATGATGGGTCATATGGTTCAAGTGTAGCATTGGCTAACCAATTTTAGCTGTGGTTTGATCTAACAACACTTTGCACTCAATGAGTTCAACGGCTTACAGCACGCCAACGGACACGTAGGCCCAGGCCATGACAATGTTTGACTTCAATTGATAGGAAATTGATGTATGCATGGAGAACTCATTTTTCTATGAGAATATAGAAAATGGTGGTGGATGCCTTCAAACTTGAAAATTCACAGTACTGATTATGGGACCTGGATGGTTTATGACCATAATTTCAATCAAGCACTTATTTGTTTCACTGATCAAAAAAATTATAAGCACACACACATTAACGCCAACAACGAATTTTACGGTATTACAAGAAAATGGCAACAACAGATTCATATATTAAAAAGTGTAGTGTCTGCAGCTTATTTGAGATGAACATGTCTTCACATTATAAATGCACCTGGTAATGGTACAAAGGCGGCATCACTCAGTGATGTGTGTGTAAATCTTAATTATGTAAATGGTTATATGTAATAGTCTTCTGATTTATTCCTAAACATCAATATCATTCTTGAAAAGTTTTAGGAAGTACATAAAACATAATAAAAAATTGTAGGTCATTTACAATATTACTCATATTGGCTTTGTTATAATCTACATGCTCTGCTTTCGACAATGGGTATTACCCTCTCTGATTTTTAATTCTATATTTATTTTTCGATTCTTTCTGATAATTTTAACTGATGTCTTGTTGTCTGTCGTATTTAAAATTAAAAAACTTAAAGCTTTCATAACACTAAATTTGTGACTTTTGATTATATTATCTCTCGTTGTAAAGATGGCTGTAGGTTGTTCTGAGATTTCTTTTCAGCAGATAAATTTTTAGGACAAAACCATTTTGTAAATTTAATTGTAAAAGTCAACCAATTCATTATTTAGTTACAAAAGAAGACTAATTTTTGCGCATCTGCATCAGTTGCTAGTAGCTGGTCATTTTTTGAAATTTTTTGATTTTTCAAAACCTAGGATTGGCAAATCCCGTGCGATTATCTCTTTAACTCTCCAATCAGAAATATGCTCAGGATTGCCAATCTTTGAGATAAGTGTATATGTGGTTCGAGATATGTATTTTTAGTAAGTTCTGTTTCTGGCCATGTGAATTTCATTTGTGGGCTACATGCTTTTCTTTTTTGGTTGCAGGACCCTTTACTAAAACCTATTACAAAGATTATTCTCGGAGTTGCAGTGATGACCCTTATGATAGCCATCTTCATGAAGGAGACTCCAAAGTGGCTGAATATATCCAAACTCACCGATACAACCTTCCCTCCTTGGGTTATTGCTTGCATGATTATAGCTTTCACTCGCTTGAGGAAGAGAACCAAGAATTTGTTAAACAAGTTCGGGTGGTGAGAGAATGAAGTCTATTAAACTTATACAAGCTTGTGACACTTTGCACTATTTTTGTATATCAAATTGTTCCAAAATCTTATAATGGTGAGAGAATGAAGTCTATTAAACTTATACAAGCTTGTGACACTTAGCACTATTTTTGTATATCAAATTGTTCCAAAATCTTATAATGGTGAGAGAATGAAGTCTCTTCTGCTCTATTTGGCCTGCGTTCTGCTCTGATGAATTTAGTGTTCCTAAGATCTTTCTTCTTTTTCCGTTTGTTTTTGTAATGGGTCAGGGTTGCTCCGTACATTGTATCATAACAACTGAGTAATTTGCCTGCATTCGCGATGAAAGGTTATGGATTTTGACAGATTCCTGTCTTTGGCGGGTCGTTATTTGCTGAGAATTGTGTACTTTAACATACTCTTTTAAGTGTTTATTGATTCATATACTTATTTTACTATTGTTTATGAAGCTCAATGCGTGAACTGCTTAATTGTGATGATTATGCTAACTAGTGAAGGCTTTGTTCCATTAGCAGGTGTGACAGTCTTTTTGGTTGGAAATGGAACTGCTATAACAATGATGCATGGATTCTTGTCCGCGGAGATTGATCTCCTTGATGAATACAAATGAGAATACATATTGCCGAGACTCGAAATTAGACACCTTATATGCAGAAGAGAGAGAGAGAGAGAGAGAGAGAGAGAGAGAGAGAGAGAATCAGGCATGGAGGTGAGGTTAGGGTTTGAGAGTCTAGTTCTACCCTCTTTTTGATCACTTAATCTAATCATGTATTCAAAGGGCATACATAATCACATTGATTGTTGAATCTCGCTAGAATCTCTACACCTCTGTGGTTTTCTGTTCTTTCAGTCACCAATATGTGTGCAGGTTACCACGGATATCAAACCCGCGGGCGTGGCTAAGGGGCACCCCCAAACGCACATAGCCTTAAGTGTTCCAGGAGATTAAATTCACGTGTGTGTTCTTTAGGAGAGTCGAACCTGGGACCTTAGAGTACTACTCATAAACAACATACCAACTTAGACAGAATTAGTCTCCAAAAAGAACAGATCTATATTGATTTGTCTAGGTGCATTATATTAATGATGCATCAAGTTGGTAGATACTATTGGACTAGTTTTTTTACCTCTGCAATGCAATGCACGGGCATTTAGTATTTCAAATATTGCTGTACTAACATGTGAATATGTGATGTTATAGTTTTGATGGTCAACGACAAATGGCATCAAATAAAACTGTTGTAATAGAGGCCATGGACTTCTGCCAATGTATGATGAAGAGGAAAATAATTCGCATCAACTATTGGAAGTGTTTCTCCCAACTGAACTCATAAATGGCATTTTATGTTTTAAAAAAATTCATACTTAAATCAATTATACTTCTCGAGAGTTATAGTAGCACGCAAAGATGTATTATTTTTTAGTTTCTTTGGGAAGGGCAAGTAACCTATAAAGTCATAATCTTCAAGTTATGTCTTATGCCTTTCATTAAAATATTTTTATAACAATAAGATAACACACACAGGAACATGGTTTGATAAATATGAAAATACAAATTAAATACTTTACGTACAACCAAACGGTGGTTCCAACAATATTGATCAAGCCTTGTTAAATTAAGTAGTTTGATTGCTCTTTACCTTTGCAAGGATAAATCAAAAAGAGCCCTACTCATCTTAATCTTTCGGATTTATCCGGTTCCTTCCATTGAATAAAATGATATTATGCACATTCTCAAAGAAAGAGGAATTAATAAAGCAATTAGGGGCTGTTTGGTTGTATGTTTTTACCATGTAAAAGGATGGAAAGTGTAAAAAAGTGGGTCCCAATGTCAGCTTTCATCACTTTCAATTGTTTGTTTGTAGTTGTGAAAATAGTGTAAAGTGATTTCATATGCTGATATGGCTTGTAAAGTGATTTCATAAAAAAAAGACATGATTTTAGGAGAAAGCTAACATTGAAGTCAGGAAAAAATAATAAAAAATAATTCCAACCAATATGATCATTTGAGTAGAGACCACTTTTTACACTTTCCAAACAAACAATTAAAGTTACATTTGCAAACCAAACAAGCAATTTATGATTCCAATGGAATAAAAAACAAACAAAGAAAAATATAGATTCCAATGGAATAAAAAACAAACAAAGAAAAATATAAAAGTAAAATTGATGAGGTGGACAATAACTTTCTAAGTTGTGTCATAAATACACAACTTTACCAACAACAACCAAACCGCCCCTTAGCATATCAGGGTTAAATAAAGGCAATGAAATTCCAAATCCTTTTACTTTATTTGTAGTAAACAATTACTCATAATTAGTGAGGTGACATATTCCCCTCCACTCATTGAAATCGGGGCTCACATTCACATGGGTTGGGGAGAGGTTGGGAATTGGATGAGAATATGACACCTCACTACCAAGCACAAAATTTGTGCTTGGTACCAAACATACTCATTTTTTATATATATATATATATATAATGAGTATGCTTGGTACCAAGTATAAATTTTGTGCTTGGTAGTGAGGTGTTATATTCTCATCCACTCATTCAAATGGTTGCATATTCCCATGCACTCCTCAACTCATGTGAATGTGGTTCTCCTATTTGAATGAGTAGAGGGGATTATGCCACCCCACTACTAAGACAAAATTTGTGCTTGGTACCAAGCATACCCATATTTCTCTATATATATATTTGGTTTCACACTTTACCTTCCATATAATTAGTGAGTTTTAAAGTCTTAAAATATTAATGATCTAAGAGCAATTTAATGATTTGGAATTCTACTTTTAAAATCTTAATAATGTAAGCACCAATATCTAAAAAAATATTATTATTAATGAAAAAATAAATCTTGAATTCATCAACATAAAATGGTAAATTTTATCTGTTCATAGAGGATTTTATTTAATTATAAAGAAATCACTCGCACCTATTACTTCCATTTTCTATTATCTAGCGACCGAGTATTATAGACATTCAAAAACGTTTTTCTAGAATTTTTAAAGCTAGAATGTGCAAATTCAATCAAGAAAGAAAATATAAATCATGTGACCAATTCCAAAATCTAATATTATAATCTTCCTACATCTTCTCAATTAATTAATTAATTTGTCAAAACTATTACTCTCTAATTTCAGAAAACTATAAAATATAATCTGAGAATGATTTAAACATATTTTGTACAGATATGGATTGTATTTTAACAAAATAATTTAGATCTATCCAATATTGAATAATATCCAAAAATTTAGGTTAAAGAGTTAAGAGAATCTAATAACACTCATATCCAAACTATATGCCTCATAAAAGTGAGACATATAAAATAAACAACTAGATTTATTTTGTTAAATAATTTATTACAAATCACAAAAGTAAGGAGAACCATAATGATCACATAGCCATTCCAAATAAAGATTAAATTTCTCTCTGCGAATTTTGTAGCAGAAGATTTTCAGATATACTGATAGACTTGCTATAAAATCCACTCTTATAAGATTGATGTCATATGTGTGTTAAATTGTGCTTTGTTTAAATGTTAATTTTAGAAAACTTTCCCTCAACTATGGGGAAATGTAAAAAATCCCCCCCCCCCTTCAACTACTTGAAATGAGTAAATCTTTGTTCGTCAAATTTGGGGTGTTGTAATTAATCCATCTCAACTTCAAAATTTTGATTTAACCATATGAACTTTTCTCAATTAAACCCTCAAAACTAACATCGTTGAGTCGAATTCATTATGTGATAAGTACTTGATTTGAAAAGACCAAAATATCCCTCAACCATAAAAGAATTAGCTTGGTTTTTTCTAGATAAAAAAAATAAAGATTTAGAGGTAAAAAGAACTGTAAATTGGTCGTAATCCTTTTATTATCGGTTGATAGTTTTTTTTAACTAAAATGGTTTTCTCAACCGGGCATTTTGATAAAATCACATATTAAATTATTTTACATTAAAGGGGTTTGTTAAGAGATGTGTAAAAGACCAGTAGAGTTTTCATAAGACACGCTAAGTCGAAGGGTGTTTTCTAAAATCGCATCAAAGTTGAGAGAGGTTACCTACAACACTTCTATAGTTAGGGAGCTCTGTCAAATTAAATTAGTTGAGTGGTTTTTTAAGACATTTCCTATATTGAGATAGTTTTCAAAAAATTAACTATTCTTTTAAATTTAGCTTATTTACATATTTGTCCCTCAAATGTTTTATAATTCAATTTTAGTCCCTAAAACCAAAATTTTAAGGGAATAATGTACAATTATTGGAGATTTAAAATCAAGGAAATTATATCTAAATTACCTTCAAATATTTCTCTTATAGGAAATATATGAAATATTGGCCAATATATCGCTATATCGACTGATATAAAAGATTAAATACTTTATCTTGATAATATTTATGATTTTATATTGTTTTCTTTTATTTGTGAATTTTTTCATATATCGATCATTATCAAAAATATTGGCTGGTATAAAAAAATCAAGTCATTTAAAAAAATAATTAATATGATCCCTTTGATAATGTATTGACATGCAATTATGTATTAATAAATAATATTAATATTAGAGTGTAATGTTAATACATTATTAATTGCAATGGGCTATTATAGTCCATTGTATTGACATGCAATACATTATTAATTGTGTTGACATGCAATGGAAGTCATTGGAATATTACATGTCAATACAATGAGAGTGTAAATGAATATTACAATGTTAATACAAATCGAGTCATTGGAAGTTTTACAATAATTGCATATCAATACATTATTAATTGTGTATTAATATTAATAGAAAGAGTAGAAAAATAATTAATAGAAAGAGTAGACATTACTAATAATTAGTATGAGAATTTTACAATAACATTGGAAGTTTTAGGGACCAAGTTAGACAAACTTGAAGTGGCATATAATATAATTAATTAACAATAATAATTAATTTAGTTTAGTTAGGATTAAAATATAATATTTAAAAAAATAGGGGTAATATAGTCCATAGAAAGTTTTTCTACAACTTCCTCTTTTAAAGAGAGTATGATTCTAAGCGAAGTATATAATTTCATTTATAATTCAAAATCTCGAGACTTATTCAAAATATGATGCTTAAAATTTTCCACATCTTCTGTACTATATAAATATAAGCTAAGCCTCTAGCCTCATATTATGCGATGCACATTATTTATCAAAGGG